CAGCCGTGTTAGTCTGTATTCGCAAAAAGAAAAGGAGTACTTGTGGCACCTTAGAGACTAACCAATTTATTTGAGCATGAGCTTTCGTGAGCTACAGCTCACTTCATCAGATGTTTACCATGGAAACTGCAGCAGACTTTATATACACACAGAAATCATGAAACAATACCTCCTCCCACCCCAGGACAGTGATTGTTTCATGATTTCTGTGTGTATATAAAGTCTGCTGCAGTTTCCACGGTAAACATCTGATGAAGTGAGCTGTAGCTCACGAAAGCTCATGCTCAAATAAATTGGTTAGTCTCTAAGGTGCCACAAGTACTCCTTTTCTTTTTTAGTAACAGGAAGGGAGCTACTGCTATACCCTCTGTATTCTTCAGCTTGAATGGACTATTACAGTACGTGCTAACTGCAAAACAGTCTGATCCATCTTGTATTTAGCTATGACACTCTGAGTACTTTACCCAGACCTGAAGAAGAGCTCTGTGCAGCTCAAAAGGTTGTCTCTTTCTGCAGCACAAGTTGGTCTAGTAAAAGATGCTGCCTTACCTACCTTGTCTCTCTCCAATGTATAAATTCAGTTGAAAGCATCAAACTAATGACTGAAAGCAAAGAGGAAAATTACTGTGTTTGCAAGATTGATTTGGCAAAAAGTAGCTGAAGAAACAATATGACAAGTTTTATTTGCTACTGTGATAAGGGGCCTAACTTAAGGTGACCTCAGTTGGTGATAATGTATGTCATCTGGTTAGAGAGAGAGCTCAGCCCAATACTCTGAAGGGCTTTCTACGTGAAGAGGGAGGACATTGATTTTAATGTAGAATTTTACTGTCCTCTAGGAACCTTGATTCACACATAGGGTAATGTGCTTGTGCTGTCTGGTGTTAAGGACAGTCCTAAAAACAGCCTTTTGTTAATTGAAGACACCAGAAAACTGTAGAAAAGAGTATTGCAATAGTCTAAACTGTATTAAATGCTGTCACCAACAGGGACCTCTATGGTCACAAATGATAGGTAAACACATCGGTGCCTGACAGGGCAACCTGAGCAGCAGTGTCAAACTGCAAACCTACTACCTCTTACCATAGCGTTTGTATATTTTAAAACTCCATCTTATTCAAATAGTATTTGGGTAACATCTAAACTCAAAAGGGTTGCATTTCAGAGGATCCTTATCGAGTAGCTATAGCAGAAGACTGAGAGGCAATTAGTGTTCTGTGCTGGCTCTGCCATTGATTTGCTGTGTGACCTTTGGGGGTGGGGATGTCATACAACTTTCTATGCCTCAGTTTCACCATCTGTAAAATAAGGACAATATTACACAGATATTAGTAGGGTTGATTCATCTGAACCTACAAGCTCTTCTTCCAAGAACCTAAAAGTGCTTTACAGATGTTAAAAGTTCAGATTCCGATCCTGCAATGGGCTGTGCATGGACAGATCCCTGCACCTGCATTAAATCCCACTGACTTAAATGGTGCTCAGCACAGTTGCAGGGATTCACTTGTGGAGCTCATTGCAGGATCAGAGCTTTCATCTTCAGCCTCCCTTGTGAGGTAATTAAGTTTCCTTACTTTATAGATGCGGGGGGAGAGGGGGAGGGAAGGCGTAACTAAATTAACTTGCACAGACTTATATAGGCAATGAATTGGAGAACTGGGAGTAAAACCCTTGGGTGGTGATCCCTGGGTTCCGTGCTTCTCAATTAAAAAAGATATTATAAATGATTTAAACATTTACTACATATACAGTTAATATTCAGGTTGGATTGTAATATCTATTATGTTTTCATATTTTTAGAGGTCGAAAATTTTCAGACTGAACAGATGCCTTTCAGAAAATGCTGCTCTTATGAAATCAAAACTAGGCCTGTCAAGCAATTAAAAAATTTAATCGTGATTATTCGTGCGTATTAATCGCACTGTTAAACAATAAGAGAATACCATTTATTTAAATATTTTTGGATGTTTTCTACATTTTCAAATACATTGATTTCAATTACAACACAGAATACCAAGTGTACAGTGCTCACTTTATATTTATTTTTGATTACAAATATTTGCCCCGTAAAAAACAAAAGAAATAGTATTTCTCAATTCACCTAATACAAGTACAGTGGTACAATCTCTTTTAGAGAATTTTAGAGCCTGCAAGTCCACTCAGTCCTACTTCTTGTGGAGCCAGTCACTCAGACAAACAAGTTCGGTTACAATTTGCAGGAGATAATGCTGCCTGCTTCTTGTTTACAGTGTCACCTGAAAGTGAGAACAGGTGTTCACATGGCACTGTTGAAGCCGGCGACGCAAGATATTTACGTGCCAGATGTGCTAAAGATTCATGCTTCAACCACCATTCCAGGGGACATGGGTCCATGCTGATGACGGGTCCAATGCAACATAGATTATAGATCATTGTTATGTTTTGAAACTCCATTGAACAGAAAAATGCATGTAGAAATTCTTAGTGGATTGATTGGGTGGTTCAGGTGGCTGATCATAGACTACAGAAACTTTCAGCTTTAGGTTACTGTTTCAAATCCCTAGGAATGGTGTGAACGAAATTTGTGTCCATGTGATGGTGGTTTGGTGACTTACATGAAATGAGTTTGATGGTTTCCACTTCAGTTTCCAGTGGGCACACATTCACATTAATAAAAAACAACATAAGTTGCACACTAGTTGGCAGGGAGACCTAGGACTGAAGCCCATCATGATTGAGCTGCCCTCCTCATCTCTATAATAATAATAATATCTAGCACTTACATATCATTTTTGTCTGTAGAACTCAAAGTGCTTTACAAAGGAGGTTAGTGTCATTATCCCCATTTTACGAATGAGGGAAAGTGAAGCAGAGAGAATGTAGGTGATTTGACCAAGGTCATCCAACAGGCCAGCATCAGAACTAGGAATAGAACCTGGGTCTCTTAATCACCCTATCCACTGGACCACACAGCTTCTGGAGGTGATGCCTTTCAATGAACGTTGAGACATATTTGCAGAACTTTAGCTGTTACAGATTGTCAGCATTTCCCATTCTCTACCTGTCCCATGAATGAATAGAGGACATCAGGTTGCGGGGCTGTTTATCCAGTATTTTTCATCAGCACTAAATTAATACACAATTTGTTGAAAGCTGAAAACCACCTAGAGGTTTTGTCTCTGTGTGGACAGAATTTTATATACTACTTTCCTGTCTTCAGTTTTACTGTGTTGTATGGGTTTTACACAGGTAATAGTACATAAAAATAGGTTTTAGCTGTTGGCTTCTTTCTTTTAATGCCTGCTGCCCCGAAAATCTATTTTGCTTGTGGAGCTACTGCCTATTATGTATCTTCAAACGGAGAGTGGAGAAGCAGGGAAGAAGTACTAAATGCAGTTTCTTTCGAAGCCAGTTCTTCGTGTTTAGCTGAGTGTAGTTCTCTGAAAGTTTACATGATAACAATCACATATTGATCTATGTAAACTCTGAATTTTATTTGACATTTAAGTTTGTATAGTACAAACTAGAATTTGTTAACCTATTGTAAGCAGTCATAATCTTGCTAAGTAGTTTTGTTACATATTTTGTGATGTGTAAGGTGAGAACTCAATGTCAGAGATTGTGGCCTAATTAATATTCTTATTTAATTTCAGATGGCATTAATACACATTAAAAATAACATATAGCCCAGATCTTTAGTATTTCCATTATATTCTGTTCCACTCAGTCAGGATGTGGTTAGTTGGGATGACTCCAGTTGATCTATTACATCCTCTCCCAAATATTGTTTGCTGGGAAAAACCACTCCGTAATAGGATGATAGGACCATTCCAAATCCATGGCACTATTTGTTTAATACAGATTTGATGACAGTCTGTGTCTCAGTCAATCCAGTTGGTAAGGTCCACAGAGACTTCTACCAAACTTAGAAGCTCCGTACCTACCTTAATCCCCACAGAGTTTACTAACTCACCTTAATCAAGATTGCTGCTTAAATGAAGTTTGAGAGGCCTGTGTGTCTGTTAAGCGACTTCTACTGTATAAAGATTTTTTTCGTATCAAAACCAGCATTAAAATAGCCTAATGAATGGGGCTGTTGTTGTCATTTAACAGAATGCCCAAAACCTGTCGGTAAATCAGGATTATTTAATGCATTTTAAAATGTTTATTTTGTAGTTCTCTGTTCATGTGTAATGAGTGTGTTTTGTGCCATGTAGACAAAATGAAAAGCTTTCTTTTTGAAATAGGTTACTAAATGTAGAAAGTGCTATAAAAAGGATACCTAGGAGTTCATATTTTATTTCCCTGATATTTGAATAATATGTAGTCAGTTTACAACTCCAGTGATGATTTTTTTTCTCCACAGCTGTCCGCACCGAAAACCTAGGTACAACAATTAACCTGTGTTCTGTCTCTTATGTCATTCAGTAATAGAGATTCTGCAAATGGTACTTACCTAACAGTTTTGTGATAATTCTCGAGGCAGTATTGTTTCTTGTTTCCTCTCCCAATATTCACTGCATTGAAAACTTGGCTTTCTGTATGTCTACCTTAGGGTTTTATACTGCCACCCATCACCATAGTACCTGAGTGCCTTCCATATAAAATCAATAGCAAAACAACAGGTTTTCCTTAGTAAACAGATATGACTCACAAAAATACATAAAATAGGCATGCTGGGTATTAATTTTGAATTGCTTAATATCCCAGATGTGCTGCTTTCAAGAAGGTGCTATTTTTATATGGTTGCTTTTCTAACTATATCAGTGCTTCAAGGTGTCCCCTTGTGGGATAAGCAGTGAGAAACAAAGCAATAATTTATTCCATGTTTTCTGTTCTTCCACAGGAAGATTCAGTGCCTTCAAGAATTAACTTTATCATCCAGTACATCTGATAGTTGTGTTTTGCATACGATGTCTGTTAATTGAAAATGGACTTACTGAATTTTTCCTCTGCAGTACTTAGAAGTTTGGGGATATGAAGTGGAAATAAACAGTGCTTTTCATTTATTTTTATTTCAGGGGATATAATTTTCAATGCCCACTACCCAGAGCTGCCACCAGATTTTATCTTTGGAGAGGATGCTGAATTCCTGCCAGATCCCTCTGCCTTGCATGTGAGTACAGCTGCAGTGCTTTTGTGATCATTATGTGCTGGAGAGAGACTTGGCTTTTGAGAATGGCTCAATAATAGGAATTTGCTAACAATGCAGATTTTTAAAAAAATCTTTTATTTCACTGTCATGTGGGTATGTAGACACTTTCTCCACTTTAAAACCATAATTATGGAGTCAACTAAATCATTCATTTCAAAATGTTTTAATTAAAATAAGACATCATATTCCCCATATCTAATCATTTAGAATGTTCTGCAGGACATAACCCTGTACAAAAAAAAGTTGCTTTTTAAAAAATCAGTTACTTCTATTTAGCACCTGATAATTTTCAAAGATTTGCTTCTTTCAGCAAAGGGGTTAACCTTTGCCTTGCCCTTGGAACATCATTTGGACTTTGGCAGAGTTTATTTCATGGCAGAGAATGAGGTATAACTGGGTTGGGCTTTGGCATTCGTCTGTATTAATACCAGAAAGGGTGGGAAACAAGTGGGAGTGTATTGTGGCACCATTGTGTCAGGCAAGACTCTGAAAACTTTATACTGGTAATGAAATGTGCTGCAGTAAAGACAGAAGCATGCTTTGGGGAGGGGAGATAATAAAATGAGCACATTAGGTGGATAATACTTCGTTGCACAGTGTTGCTAGTGTAGAAGAAGAAAATACATACCATAGCCAAGTACCATAAACACGAAATATTACTGAGTATTAAAAATTAGTCTTTAATAACAAAGCCTTGTACCTAGAACTGAACTTTGGTTGGGTACTTGTGATACTTCTAACTCTGATATAGTAGTCACGTTAGTGTGCCTCCCTTGTCAGACAAATATGCCTGTTGCATAGAGTTCCAGTCTTATTCCTGATCAGTGGCTAACATCAGCAGTTCTTCTCACTTCTGTTGTAGTGTTTTAAAGCTCAAATTAAATTTTCAGTTTTTGCTAAATATTTTTTAGCTTGCTGACTTCTGTTGTGTTTCTAGTTCTATACTCTTATGAATGATACATCATACTAAGGAATCCATTAGTCATAGATACATTCCATATTGATCCATTAGTCATCAGCGTGTTAACAAAAATTCTACTGGAAATACTAAGATGGGTTTTTCAGCTAGCCAAGCGCTTTGGAAGTTCTGTACCTAATTCTGTGTGTCTGAAATTTGAAAGATGTCATTTGGATACTGGATATATTTTGTCTCTTGTTCTGAGGCTGCAGAGTGGCTAACCAATTATTTTAATTTATCTGACTAGCTCATTTGCTAGCAGGGAGTATCTATTTGTTACATTTTGGGATGTCTAACTTAGATTTCTCGATATTTGGAATGTTTCTGTGACTTGGCAAATGGACTGTTAATTTAAAACTGTTGTTCATAAAACTGAAAACACCAATTTCTTTATTATTGTTGCTTTTAAAACACTGAAAAATAAAAGGTAAAACATGATTTAAAAGAGATAGCTTTTTTCTTTCCGAGGCAAAAATGATTGTCTACCACATAGAAAAGCTGAGTGCTTTCTTTAAATGGATCTAAGTTGTTTTGTACCCTTACATCACTTCAGGAATTTTATTTTATTATGGCCTTTATATGTGCTTGGGCTTTTGAGGGCTATCTTCTTAATATTCACATTATTTCTGTTCTCAAGCAGGATGCAGTAATCCAGTACTAACTGGATTTTATTAATTGTGGGCTACTGGGAAGTTAAATCAAATATAAAGAAGAATATGCATTATAATAAGTAGAGTCTAAAATGTATTTTCATAATCTTTAATTAATTTCTTAAATTCTCCTAATTTTTACCCCTTTCTCTGTTTAGTTCTTGTTTCACTCTATTCCAAGCTTCTCAGTGGTGCTTATAGCAACATCACTTAGAGGTTTGTGTCTCCGTCACATACATACATGACATACAAAGTAAAGAGTAACACACTTTTTTTTTTTTTATAGCAAAGAGATACTTGCAGCAAATGAGGTGTGAAACACTTCAAGGGAATTCTGGGCATCTTGCAGAAGAAATATTTATATAAAATTCATTGCTAAATAAGTTTTGTGTGATAAATTTTGACAAAGTATGGTATATCACCTTATCTTTAATGTTAAAAAAGAGTTCCTGGTCATGTCAACCTAGTCATTTAATCTGTCCAATGCCGCCTCTTTCTTAACTCGTCCCTTCTTTACTTATCCAACTTTGTCTTTTATCATGTAGCTCACCATCCCCATTTCTCCCCAGAGATGCCAACCTCAATGGCTGTTTGTCCCCTTCTCCCACAATCACCCCTTTGCTTTCTTCCATGTCACTTCCTACACATGGAACCTTCTTTCTGAGCTGACCGCAAAGCTTCTACACTGTAGAACCTGGCTACTCTGGACTGCTACCATCTGGTCGCTAACCAGTTTGGAGTGGGAAAGTCGATGGTTGGACTCGTGTTGATGGAAGTGTTCAGGGCCATTCATCGCATCCTGCTCTGGAAGACCATGACTATGGGCATCATGCGTGACATTGTAGATGGCTTTGCTTCCCTAACTGTGGAGGGGTGCTAGATGGCACACACATTCCAATACTGGCACCAGACTACCTAGCCACTGAGTACATTGATTGGAAGGGATATTTCTCTATGGTTCTCCAGCACTTGTGGATCACTGTGGGCATTTCATGGACATTAACACAGCCTGGTCTGGAAAGGTGCATGACGGAGGCATCTTTCGGAACACTGGCCTTTTCAGGAAGCTGCAAGCGAGACTATCTTCCCCGACTAGAGGATCACCGTCTGGGAAGTCGAAATGCCCATTGTGATCCTGGGAAATCCTGCCTACCCGTTCATGCCGTGGCTTTTGAAACCATACACAAGGCACCTTGACAACATCAAGGAGTGGTTCAACAACAGACTGAGCAAGTGCAGAATGACTGTTGAGTGTGCTTTTGGCCATTTAAAGGCCCACTGGCGCTGCCTATATGGTAGGCTGGACCTGGCCGATGACAATATTCCTATGCTTATAGCCGCGTGCTGTACACTCCATAATATTTGTGAAGGGAAGGGTGAAAGTTTCACTCAGGGCTGGACCACTGAGGCTCAGCGCCTGGAGGCTGAATTTGAACAGCCAGAGACCAGGGCTATTAGGGGGTGCAGCGTGGGGCTATAAGGATCAGGGATGCCTTGAGGCAGCATTTTGAAGCTGAAAGCCACTGATATTTGTTGCTATGCTCAGGAATGCAGTGCTTGTAATGCTAGGAGGTGATTGTGATTGGTGAAGATGATGCACTGTGAAGGTTTAAGAAAACTGCCTGTTGCTTTGCAGGGCTCTGTTTGCTTTCAATTAATAGAATAAAGATTGCTTTCAAAGTAACACAATTCTTTTAGTAAAATCCAACAACAGGAGGGGAGAGACAAACAAAAAAACACATCAGCACTGAGTGGGATGGGGGAAGGGAAGGTCCCAGGAGGAGTGGGGTCCCGGGACAGTTAAAGATTTGTGTATGTCCAGGGATCACATCCAACCTTCTCCTCTGGAGAACAATGCAGCGGGTACTGTACTTCAGCAGGCTAAACTGCAGAGGCATGGGTATTGAGTGCAGTGGGTAGTGGGAGTCCACAGTGCTGGACTGCGACAGGGGAAGAGTAGAATGCCACAGATACAGACTGGAGCCAGGAGGTTGATAAGAGTGTATTGGTGGTGTCTGGGAGGAGCAAGGGAAAGAGTTTTGCGAGCGGCTGCAGATGAGGGTGGGTGCGGAGTTCCTCAGTTTGCAGTGCGAGTATGAAGCATGTCTGCTTGGCACTCCATAATGTTTAAGAGCCGCTCCATGGCTTCATTCTGTTGTGCCATGTTTTCCTTTTGGTCCCTCTTCTTGCTGTCCTTCAGTTCCTGTTTTTCTGCTGCACAGTGCACCATGACCTCATTCAGCAAGTCCTCCTTAGTTCTTCATGACCGCTTTCTAATTCTGCACAGCCGTTCAGCCAGTGATAACAAAGAGGGAGGCTGGGCTCCCAAGGTCATATCTGTGAAGCCAAAATGCAAACTTTTACAGAAGCAGTATTGTTTGCAACACACAGAACACTGATTCAGTGATTTAAAATGTAGCCAGTATTCACATACCTGTCACTAACTGGCTGACCCCAGGCAAGGACACATGAGCTGCAAGACCCGCAAAATGGTGAGTAATTGCAGGGGAAATCTGTGTTCCTGGACCCTACTGTACACTGGGCATGTGGCTCTTGGGGAGAGCCAGCACAGTAAAGGAGGCCTTATAATTATTTCTGTCCTCACATTTTCCACAAGCTGTGTTCATTATGGGAGATATCTCGCTGCTGAGGGTGAGCAGGGAATCAAGGGAGGGTCTTCTCCAGGACTACAGCTTCCGCCCTGGCCCTTATGTGGCTCTCCTATGTGCAGCAAAGGTCATGCTTCCTCCCCCCACACCCCTCGTGACGGCAGAGTGGTGCGGGAAAGTGGGGCAAGAAACAAAACAGCTCTGCCAAAGAACCTGCAGCAGCAGATTGCCCAGTATCTCCATGAGAGTTTTCTGGAGTTCTCTGCGGCAGATTCCCGCGAATGGAGGGAGTCAATCAACACCCTGTTCCACTACTCAGAGTAGGCATGTGGTGGTACGTGCATCCAGACACAAGCCTGCTTTCTGCAACTCTCCTGCCCCCAACAACTCATTTCAGCGATTCCCAAAATCACATCGACTTATCAGGGGCCTCCTCTCCTGTTTGCGCTTCGCCAACATCAGACAGCTGTGACTGGCTAGCCTCCTCCGGGATAGAGAAGAGCTCCTGGCTGCATGCATCTCTGGCCTTCGAGTCATCTTCTGCCTCTGGGTCCCCCTTCTCTTCCACATCCTCGTCCAAGATTTCCTCCTCCTAGCTCAGTCTGCTATCGACTGGCACGCGAGCCACCAAAGTATCCACAGTGGCCTTCGCAGTGGAGGTAGGGTTGCCACCGAGTATTGCATTCAGCTCTTTGTAGAACTGGCAGCTTGTGGGTGGAGCACCGGAGTGGTGGTTTGCCTTCC